CTGGTGTGTTTCTTCATTGTTTGCTATGTGATCGTTTATTGTGTTGTTGCCTCTCGCCATGCTCTGTTCGTGCTCGGTTTTGCTTCGGCCGAGACATCTGAGGCGATGCGTCTTGGCTGTGTGCCACCAGGAGTGCGCATGCAGCATAAGCGTAAAGCAATAACGAAACACAAACTGATGGCACATGCATTAGAGCATACTGATTTATTTACATCGCTGACAGCAAAAAATGGGCCGATCATGGATGTACTGCAGTGTCAGGACAACCCGCGGCCGGGCAGAAGAAAACTCCAGAAACCACGCCAATGTTCAAAAACCAGGAAAATCTTATGGTCCCCATGTAGGGGAAGTATCAGATATGAAAATGATCAAAACATATGTTTATTCCGGGAAGTTCATGTTTCAATACAGGAAATGGTAAAAACACAAACAGATCACTTTAGGGTCTGGAGTGCATTTACACGAGAAACAGTGTTTTACACAACACACAACTCCGTGTTCTGCCGCTCGCCAACACTGAGCACCAATTGATAGTGACGGTGTGCTGTCACGTGGTCTGTGATCGCCAGTCGGGTGACGTGACGAACAGCGCACTGGCGTCGTCGGCGCCGGCGAACGCCGCATGGGCGCAAACTGTCGGCGACCTCCGGTCACGCGCCAGTGTGCTGACGCAACCGCCACGCGTCTCGACCAACGGAGATTGCGCGCACGACTCAAATTGCAACAAGATGCTCTGCAATGCGTCATCATAGCTGGTGCCAATGTGCGGCGGGGAGAGTACTGCTCGCCGTCGGTCGCTAATCGGTGGTCGACCCGGCGCACGGGGCCAGGCGCGTGTATATTAGCATTTTATTTGATCTGTGCATTAGTGTAATCACCGCATCACGGGATGTCCCCCCCCCCACATAAGGCTGTATGCCCACGATGTGGGTGCAAATAATGCTTATTTGTTCCGTGTATTGGTGCAATCGAATGACAATGAACACGAGATGCTGCCCTATTGCCTGAATTATGTGCTACTGATTCTCATCTAATCCGTGTGTCGGTGTATTGACGTGACAATGATCAACAGATGCCCCCCCCCCCCCTCCATCTTTTTCTGCTAGCGGCGCGTGTGCACGTGCTGTACCGAATATTATTTGATCTGTGCATTAGTGTAGTCATATAGTATCAACACGAGATGCTTCCCCTACCCCCGGACTGTGCAGCATTCCAGGATGTAACCCACGCCCGTTCCCTTGGCTGGCCTGCCGGCTGTGGGTTTGCCCCTTCCCTGCAATGGTCGTGGGCGTTGGTTAGACGCGGCCTTCTCGTGTCGCCTCGGTTTGGCCACCGGCGTTCCTCTCCTGGCGTCGCACCTCGATCCGGCGCAGTCTTGTGTCGGCGCCGCGCACGTGCCGTCTGGCCGCGGTGACGTCGCCGACGTCCTAAGGCCTGCAATCCATGCACCATTGACGGGGTGGGATGCGGCTCCCGCCGACGGCCCCCCCCCCCCCCCCCCCTGATCACCATGGGGAGGAGGGTGAGGCAGTGCTTCACCCCATTGGCGGCACGCTGCGCCGTGCCGTGGCATTATGGAAGTTGTTTTCCAAAACACTGTGTCTCGTATAACTGCGCTCCAGAGCGTGGAGCGCATCCGTTTGTGTTTTTAGCATTTCCTGTAATGAAACACGAACTTTTATGACTAAAAGTCTGTTCTTAGCAGCTTCATATGTGATACGTCCCCTACATGGGCACCAGAATATTGTACTGATTTTTAAACATTCGAGTGCTTACTGGAGCTTTCTCTCACCCTGCCGGCGGTTGGCCTGGTTGGCCGAACGATGCCACGTCACCTACAGCGCGTGCCGTCAGCCCGGCAACATGCAACGCTAACGCACCACATGCTTGTACAAGCCAACACCGTAGAGACCAAACGCCTGACAATGACCATTGCCGCCGGCGGTGCATATCAGTGTTGCACGCCCTGCGGCCAGATGTCTCTGCCGGAAGTGTGGCATTCACACATCGCCTGCGCACCGTCCAATGGTCGGCTGTGTTCCGTGCTCCAGCGCACGGGCACCGCGGCCGGAAGCCTTGCGGCCTGGCCGGCCTGGCACCAGTCATCAGCTGCATGGGCGTCTTCGCTTCCGAAGCGCGGCCGTGCTCTAGCACGTGACGCGGCGCGACGCCGCACGCCACTTGCAACAAGTCGGCAACACAACTTCATTACTGCCGGCAACGCGCCACCACCGCACACGCAGCACAACCAGCCTGGCACTCGACGCCCGGTGCGGCAGTAATCTAGCGGCCATGCTGGCACTAGCAGCGGCTGGGCGATTTTCGACCGTAGCGACGCGCGTGCCGGCGTCAGTTGCACGCTCACAGACGCCGCGCGAGGACGCGTTCTGCCGCTCGCCAACACTGAGCACCTATTGATAGTGACGGTGTGCTGTCATGTGGTCTGTGATCGCCGGTCGGGTGACGTGACGAACAGCGCACTGGCGTCGTCTGCGCCGGCGACCGCTGCATGGGCGCAAACTGTCGGCGACCTCCGGTCACGCGCCGGTGTGCCGGCGCAACCGCCACGCTTCTCGACCAAAGGAGATTGCGCGCACGACTTAAGTGGCAACAAGATGCCCTGCAATGTGTCATCTTAGCTGGTGCTAATGCGCGGCGGGGAGAGTACTGCTCGCCGTCGGTCGCTAATCGCTGGTGGACCCGGCGCACGGGGCCAGGCGCGTGTATATTAGTTTTTCATTTGATCTGTGCATTACTGTAATCACCGCATCACGAGATGTCCTCCCCCCCCCTTAAGGTTGTTTGCCCACGGTGTGGGTGCAGTTGATGCTTTTTTGTTCCGTGTATTGGTGCAATCGAATGGCAACGGCCACGAGATGCTGTCCCATTGCCTGAATTATGTGCTACTGATTCTCCTCTAATCCGTGTGTTGGTGTATTGACGTGACAATGATCAACAGATGCCCCCCCCCCCCTTCTTTTTTCTGCTAGCGGCGCGTGTGCACGGGCTGTACCGTTTATTATTTGATCTGTGCATTAGTTTTAGTTAGGTTAGGGTAGGATAGGTTAGGTTAGGTTAGGTTATGTTATGTTATGTTGGTTTGGTAGGTTATGTTAGGTTAGGTTAGGTTAGGTTAGGTTATGTTGGTTGGTTAGGTTAGGTTAGGTTAGGTTAGGTTAGGTTAGGTTAGGTTAGGTTAGGTTAGGTTAGGTTAGGTTAGGTTAGGTTAGGTTTAGGTTAGGTCAGGTCAGGTCAGGTCAGGTCAGGTCAGGTCAGTCAGGTCAGGTCAGGTCAGGTCAAGTTAGGTTAGGTTAGGTTAGGTTAGGTTAGGTTAGGTATTGCTAACGTTATTGATTTGGTAGCCTATATTGTTCACCCAACTGCCTCTGAGAGCATCTCCGGGGCCGAGTACCATCATCCGCTGACCCAGAAATGTTTTGGTCTGGCCTGACGACGCTATACTAATTTCGATTGAAGACTTCAGTTCACAAGCGTCAACACGCGAGATATGGAACTGGATTTTCTACACGATTGCCGCTGGTGGTGTCAATTGGTATATTATCAAAAGTACCTAGTAACTGCACTCTACCGGACCAATCCGCAGCGCGGAGCTCATCAAAACGCGACGAGTACACGAAAGATCATGAATGCGCACGCCTTCCGTTCTCGTACACACGGAACGTTACAAATACGCGACGGTCTGCCGAAGCCACCCCAATACTACAGGATAAACTGCGTGGCATTATGTGCTCTATATAAATGTAGATAGCAATAAAATGATCTTCGGAAAAATGCATAACGCGTCTTCTTGCTGGAAATGGGCATTCCAGTGTCCCAGTCATATGGGCATATACCTTTTGCCGTTTTTGAGGGTTGGGCCTTGCGCTTAATCTTATGAAAATGGGATTTCTTGGTACAGATTTCTTACAGACATATCTTTGTCACACGACCATACATAAATACGCTGCAAAATAAATAAACGCGTGCCAAAGGAAAATTCATGTCAGCTGGCAACACACAAATTGCCAGTAGCACTCGTAGCAACTACATCCTCCTTATACAGTGTACCAGAGTTCTAGCTCGGCCGCCACCGCCCACAGTCCACTACTGGGCGGTCACATCCACCAATCAGTGCTTTCATCGCGGATCAACCAATGGTGACGCAGAACATGCATATGACCGCGAACGGTTCGGCAAGAGCCTGCCGACCACTGCCCATCGACCCATCCCTGCGACGAACTTCACATCACATCGCTATGGTGATCGCCGCCTACGCCGTCAACTGGCTCACGCCGCGTCTGACATCACCCGGCCGACCAATCACAGCCCCCGACCACCGCGGGTGGGTCCCGCATGCACGACCTTGACGGAATGCCACTTTCTGGTTCACGGGGCAGAGGACCGCCCATGCGCTGATGTTCCACGGCCGGCCGATATCTAACAACGCCCCGTTTCAGTCGGACGGAAAGTCCTCGAGACTGGGCTCTTTGGTGAAGCACATGATTTGCAGCTTCATATTGGCGCGGAACTTCTTCAAAAGTTCCTCCACCAGCCTGAGGACAAAACAGAGCGGTGTTAACACGTTTACATTCAAGAGGTTAAACGTGTTGAACTATGCTACGAATCACTGACGTTTTGTTGAAGAGCCTTCAAAGGCGTCGCCGCATTACACATGATAAGATGATAGGCTCTCTATATTCCCTGCCGGTCTGGTGGTCCAGGGACAGCAGTGTGACCTAATTAGATAACAACTGGACACCATTAGGGGGCAGCGAACAACACCAGCCCGTGCTCAATCGCCGGGAATCGCCGGGTGGCGTCACCAGCAGCGGCACCCCTCGGCAGGGGCGGCGCCACTGATTTTGAATTGGGGGCAGGATTCCTCATGGGGCCCCTGGACAAAATGCGGTCCCCTTGCAGGGAGGCCTACTGGACAGCATCGTATTCAAGTTGGAGGGGCACCGAGGGTATGTGCCGCTTATCAAATTGTTAAATGTGTCAGATCCAAGCAATATCCAAAATAGATGCCTTCTGATTATTCTGCATAGGGTCTCGCTTTCCTAAAACAAGACCTCCTGTTCCCGAAAAGAACATCCTGATGCACAGAGGGGCCTCCTCATCCAGAGCTTGATGCCTCCGATTTACGAAGGGGCCTCCAAATCTGCCCAGGGGGCCTTGATATCCCAAAACAGGTCATCCCGATCCGGAACCGCGACCATCTCATCTATGAACAGGCCTCCTGCTCCAGAAATTGGACCTCCTAAATATAGAGCTTGCCTCCTTACCCAGAACAGGGGTCTCCTTGTTCCTAACGGAAGGGCCTCCCGAGCCAGGTAGCGGGCCTTCTGAACATAGCATGGGGTCCACTGATCTATAACGTGGGTATCTTATGCCTGAAGGTGGCCTCATGATCTAGAAAACGGATCTCTTGATGTAGAGATGTATTCTGAGTCTGATTCATTTCTCGCTAGCTGAGCTATGGGGCCTCCTTGATCCAAATCATGGCAATCTATGGGTGGCTGGAATACCAAACATTGGGAAAAGGGGAACTGCCAAAAATTTGAGGGGGCGAAAATACTCTTGCCCCCTGTTTTGCCTGCTAGCCAGAGGCGGGGCAACTGCCTCCCTTGCCCCCACTCCTGCTACACCGCCCCTGCCCCTCAGGGAACGGGGCTGGGGTCCGCGCGGCTCCGATGTTGTCGCTTCCCGGTGCCATCCCTGATCGCGCCGGCGTAAGGCGGCCGTTGGCTGCCGGTCCGGCGGCCCTCCAGATGCGCGCTCACCGCTTGTCGCCGGCCGGGTCCTGATGGTTGGGAAGCGACTCCGAGGCCTCAACGAACGATAGCCTGTGGAGGAGAGCGGCACCGAGCGTCACAACCGTGAGCGTCACACCGCAAACGCACGCACGTCACGAGTAGTGGGCTACTCTCAGTTACCAGCCGTCTTTGTCATCCCGAAAACAGTCGTTGAAACTAAGAGCACAAAAGCGATGACGAAAGTCCCGCATTCTAGACCCTGAAAATGCTTCCCACAGCCGGTAAGCGAACGGGTTGGCTGCCTGTACCTTGTCACGTTGAGTTCCGGATCGAGCGTTCTTCGTTTGATTCTCAACTACCCATCTTTACCCAGTTTTAAAGGACCACCACCATGAGATATTAATGACATGGGAGGCTGTGACAGTAATACTTAACACGCTTCCATGCACCCACAGGCGACCAAGAAACAATCACTGATATCCTTACAGACGGGCAAACCCGAGAGTACAAGATCTCCGCTGGCCGACCGCGGCCGGCCGCGACGGCGGGTGGGAGTCCCGCTCAGGCGCAGCGCAGTGTATCCGCACGGACCAGGAGTGAAACAGCCGCTCGTCGAAGCCCCTTGTACTGCACCAAACTGCCCTGACCCGACCCCACTGGGCTGACTGACCTGGCCGCCTCGGTGACGTACAGTTGGAGCGTCTCCTGCAGGGCGGCCAGGTCAAGACGGGCCTGCTGTCCGCCGGCCGGCGTCATCCGCACCACTGACGTCATCAGGCGGCTCAGCTCTTCCGCCACGCCCTCCACCAGGTTACAGAGCACGCGGCGCACCAGCAGCGGCGACACGGAGTACACCTGGTGAGGGCGAGCGTCAGGCCTCTGTAAGGGGGGGGCCACACGAGCCGGCTGCCGGATGGGGCGCGGAACGCGACAGGCCGGGACTGAAATGTCGCCACAACACAGTACGCTTCCCTCACATTCAGTCTGCTTACGCCGTGCATCGAACACCAGCGGCTTGGATGCCATGCGTAAAACACGTTGCCGTGGAGAGTGCTCCAATATACGTTTGTGGCTATGCATACACGTGGCTGTTGTTCATTGGCGTTTTGGGACGTGCCGACAAAGTCACGTTGCAAGCATGACAAGCTCACGTGCATGTCCGGCATCGGCGGCACCATCACGCCTCTTTCGCCGACGCCGGGCACGGCTCCCGTACCTCGTGGTGGACGCCGATGCAGTTCATGATAACCTCCTTGACATAGCCGCGGACGTCCGTGGGCGGCCTCAGCACGTGGGACCAGTCGAACCGGCCCTGGTACATGCTCATCTCCACTATGCCTGCCGACACGCGGTGGTCGCGGTTACCGGACGGCGAAGCGGGGCGAGCGGCCCCCGGACGGCGAGGCGGCGCGAGCGGCCGCCGGACGGCGAGCCTCTCGTCGACAGCGGAGGCGCACGCGCGCGGCCCGAAACCCGACGGTGGCCGCCGACAGTGCTCAGGCACCCGAGCGTCACTGGTGTCCTGGCTAGCAGCCGCGCGGGTGGCGGGTCAGGCCGCCATCGCTCCCTCCGAGTGCCCAGTTTGGTTGCTCCTCGTCAAGCCATGCCGCTCAACTAGTGTATAAAGGTAGCCACGGAGGTCACGCTCACTGCGGTGCGGTATTTTAACGAACGACTTTGCTCATACACCCACACACCACCGCACCAAGAGGCGGCGCCTGACCGGGTCGCCCCGCCAGGCCGGGCGCCCTTCGGCGTGTCCGTACCGAGGATGGGGTCAGCCTTCTCCTCCATGTACGCCTCGAACAGCTTCTGCTCGAGGTCGGAGAGCACGTCCGTCACCTTCTGCAGGCCTTGTTGCACCTCGGCCGCCGGGAACCTGGCCGATGCCGGGCGGTGGTGGCGGTCAATCACGGGCGCTCCAGCGACACCGGTCATCAGCCGTCACAATGGCGACAGCGCTTAGCAGGGATTTCAGCGACGAGCGTCGCAGCGACGCGACCCAGCAACAACAGCAAAGTATCGGCTGGCGGGCACGCTTTCGGTAGGCAGCTGTGAAGCCCGGACGTCACGGAAGTTAAGAATAGGTCAGCAACTGCACCCAAAGGTCGCAGAGCCTGATGAGCGGTGAAACGATTGTGACATTAAGTCACTGGCCTGGACCCACCGCCTACGGACAGTGGGGGTGGATAACCTGAAATCGGTACTAATCAATACATGCAACCTGAATTTTTGAATGACTGAATTTCTAGGATCAGAGCTCACGCTCAGTAGCGTTTGTTGTGTGAGCCCTGCCCCTTCCCATCCAATCGCGCAATTCGACGTCAACGGCAGAACTTCGTCGTGAAAGTTGAGCGTGCCACAACGCTCGGCGCGGTCTGTCCTGCCATCTGATGTTATCTTATGTCAAGCGCGACCGCTGCCACCGGTCGCAGGCCATACCTGTCCAGAACAAATAGCGAGCGCATGAAGTGACTCGAACTCACCCCGCCATGGGCGGTTGGATCGGAAGCAGGCGCTCTAACCAACTGAGCCATCGGGATGGACATCCAACACTTACATAACTTTCTTCAAACCAAAGAAATCCCACTGACCAAGAACCATCTCGAGTGAGCCAGAGCCAGCGGTGCCGGCGCCGCACACCACGCCTCTCCTCCCTAACCCGCCTCACCCGTGCGAGGTGAACACGTCGGCCAGCTGGGGGGCGCGGCTGACACGCAGCACGTGGCAGTTGGAGAGCACCACCAGCAGCCGGTACTCAACGCTCGGCGCCTCGGCCACGGCCGGCGCGCCATCCTCGGAGCCCGAGCCCTCCTCGGACTCGGCGTCCTCGAAGGCCAGACGCTCCAGCACCTGGCGGCGATGACCGGAGTTACAAGTGCGTCTGCCTCCGGACAGGACGACGCTGCAGCCAGCCGGCGCCTTCCCCGCAGCCAGATACGATGAGGCACGACCAGCAGTGTCATCATAGAGGCGAAAACCTCCATCACCATCTCCACTGCGAAGACATGAGTCTTTCTTTCCGACGGCAAAACGGCTCGACCCAAACCGCCGGCTCGCTAAGCCCCCAGTGAGACGCCGATGGCGACGATTGGAGCGTTAGGGCGCGCCGACGTCAGAGGCCGCTTAACGCCAATCCGACAGAAACTGGCCCGCTCGTCTGTCTCATTTCTGTCCAGCCGTGGCCGCAGAGGAGCAGAGGAGCAGAGGAGCAGAGGAGCGGCACGCCCACGTCAGAGGCCGCTTCACGCCAAGCCGACAGTAAACTGTCGCTCGTCTGTCCCACTGCTGTCCAGCCGTGGCCGGCAGCAGACGAGCAGAGGAGCAGAGGAGCAGAAGAGTGGAGGAGCGGCGCGCCCACCTGCGCGAAGGTCGCCACCAGGTTGTAGACGAGCACGACCACGTCCTTGCGGACCGTCTCGTTCTGCATGAGGGGCGTCTCCTGCGGCCCGGCCGTCAGCACCTGCTCCTCGGCCTGGACCACCACGTCCGTCACCGAAGTCATGAACTGGGTCAGCTGGAACGCAGCGGTGGCCGGTCAGAGGTGTCGTCAATAGCGCGTCCCCCCGTCCCCTCCCCCCAAGCCAACCCCAGCGATTTTTTAGCTGAAAGGCCAAACGAAAAGGTAGCCACGATCGTCAATTATAGTTTACGCCATGTGTATCACTGAATACATGGCGAGGACATCCCGTGGCGACTGTACACGGTGAGCCGTTACCAGCCGGGTGCAGCCGTATCCGCTGGCGTCCAGGGAGGGCTCCAGCGTCCAGGCGTCGCGGCCGGGAAGCTGACGCACGGCCTCCATCGTGCGCCGGAACATGGTCATCAGGCAGTGCTTCCTGGAGCGGGGGCGGCCGGTCACAGGCGGCTACGCGAAGCGTGGGGTGCGCCGGCTGCCCTCGAGCTCGCGATCAGACCAGCGGACGCACTACAGAGCGACTGAGTGCTTGGGACTTGTCACTCACGTCATTGTTCGGATGAAGTCACCTAATCGTGATCAGAGCACTCGAATACTCAGTTACATTTCATGTGCCTCAGCTATCTACTGAGGGCGCAGCAGGCAGTACTGACTCAACACACGCGAATAAGCACGCCGCTTCGGCCCCGTACAGCGCGCCCCTCCACTGACCTGAGGTCGAACACGAGCTGGCTGACCTCGTCGAGCGCCTCGGGCGCCACGCCGAGCAGCTGCAGACTACCGTAGGTGGCGGTGACCTCTCGCAGGCAGGCCTGCAGCCAGACGGGCTCGCGAAGAGTGTCGCTCCAGGCCAGCTCCGGCGAGTCGGCCGTGTGGGGCAGCAGCGCGCCGCGCACCAGGGCGCACCACACCTCCACCACGCTGCTCACCAGCCGCTGTCGGCACCACGGCCCGTCTCAGGCGGACAGGACACCGGCCGGCGGCACCACACGCCACCGCAGCACACCGGCGCAGCAGCACGGCGCTGGCAGGGTACGGCTCCACCCCAGGGCGCCGCCACACTGCCGAGCCGGGCCAGAGCCGCCCACGGCAGGACAATGGGCGACGCCACCTCTCGTCCGGTCGCACAGGACATACCACAGCTCACGCGGGACACGGAGCGGCTGGCTGTGCTACACACCATGCTGTTTGAGCAGGAAAACACCACTCGGACAAATCACAATGCCAGTATTTCAGGAAAAGAACACAATCAACCGGGCTGTGCTGGTAAAGAACATCATGACATTAATTATTGCACGTTTAAGTGCACATTGCCATGTGGACACAACAGCTTCTTCCAGCAGTAGCAAGTGCATAGGGCCCCATAGGGTATATCGGGGTCCCATAGGGTACATCGGGGTCCCATAGGGTACATCGGGGTCCCATAGAGTACATAAAAGCCCCATTAATTGCACAAGGTTCCCATAGGGTACACAGGGGTCACCATAGTGCATACAGGGTTTCCATAGAGTACATGGATATCTTACAAGATACATAGAGGCATCATAGGGTACATAGTGGTCCCATAGAGTGCATAGGGGTCCCATAGGGTGCATAGGGATCCCACAGCGCACGTTTGGTTCCGTACGGGTAAATAGGGGGTCGTGCGTGCACAGGAGTCCCTGTGCGCGTGAACATGGCCTCCAAGCACCAATCCCAGTCGCTTCTGCTGCAGCGCAATCGCTACAGTGTTCGAAGGGTGGCAGCTCGCAGCGACCGGCGCAACTGCGAGAGCAGCACAGGCGACCCACCCACCTTGAAGTCTGGCTTGCGGGCCGACTCGGGTGTGCTGTACAGCTCGCCTTGGAAGTAGCACTGTCCCAGTTTGAAGAGTCCCGGGAATTTCCCAGTCATCCGGTCAGCCACGTCCTCAATGAACAGCACGATAGGCGGCGCCGTCGTCTGCCGGGAGTGGCGGCCGAAACGTTCAGGCGCCCACCAGCGAGCACACCGCCGCACGAGGCGGGCACCGACACATCCCCAGGCGCGCAGGCGTGCGAAAAGCCAGACGCACGGGGAACGCGCCTAACTGAGTCAACTTGGATGACACAGAGGCAGCACTGCGGTGTATACGGACGCATTGAATACGCTTCTATTTCACGAGACACATTATATGATTAATAAACACCACATTGAGAAGCATGTGACATACCAAATTTCGGATATGAACGCACCTTCGTGGCTGTACGCAGCCCCCGGCTGTGCCTTCTTGCTTGCACCAGTCAAAACAAACATCAATAGGACCCCAGTTCACCACGCCCCTAGACCAGCCCTGTGACGGGCCAAACCGTCGCGTGCCGTCCGGCACCGTTACCTGGGCGTCGACGGCGGCGCCAGAACCGGCGCCGGCTGTCGCCGCACCGCCACCGCCGCCAGGGGAGGCGTACTGCTCGCGACACGAGGTGAGCACGGCGCGGATGAAGGCGTGCTCCGAGAGGATACACTCCCAGCCGACGTCTCCGGGTGTGTCCAGGCTGACCAGGTACCTGGCGAGGCGCCCGGGACAGGGGGTCAGGCAGGGCGGTAGGGCGCACACACCCCGGCACAGACAGGACCAACGGGCACGGCCGCCTCCGGTTGGATAGAGGGGGGGGGGGGGGGGCAGGAGGGCGCACACAGACCCAGCACAGGCAGGGCTGACGGGGCTGACGAACAGGTGGCAGTAGCTGTTGAGCAGATGGCAGTGGCCATTGAGCAGGTGGCAGTGGCTGTTGAACAGGTGAGCGGCTGTTGAACAGGTGGCAGTGGCTGTTGAATGGGTGGCAGTGGCTGTTGAATGGGTGGCAGTGGCTGTTGAACAGGTGACAGTGGCTGTTGAACGGGTGACAGTGGCTGCTGAACAGGTGGCAGTGGCTGTTGAACAGGTGGCAGTGGCTGTTGAACAGGTGGCAGTGGCTGTTGAACATGTGGCAGTGGCTGTTGAACAGGTGACAGTGGCTGTTGAGCAGGTGACAGTGGCTGTTGAACAGGTGACCATGGCTGTTGAATGGGTGGCAGTGGCCGCCCAACATACCGAATGATCTGCTTCTGCTCCTCAAAAGAGCCATTGACTTCCTTGAGCTTCGTCTTCAGGATGTCCCGGAGGTTGGCTATCTTCGTCTCAACGACAGCCATCACCTGCTTGAAGACCTAGAGCGGAGTGCAACCGAGTTAGCTCAAGCTGGCCAAACAATTTACCACGAGGAGATGGTAGGTAGATGCCAAAACCTTGTAAAGCGAGAACCTGACACCACTCCCTTTACATGCACTGGTCTCTGCACTGGACTTGAGAAGACTCCAGCCAATCTCTCCCTAACTTATCCTGACTTCTAGCATCTCGTATTCCCTACCAGCAGATCACATCCCTCAACCTCAGAGAGCTACCACCTCAAACGTAATGCGTTTTCTCCACGCCATTAACAGACCAGCCGCACCTGAACTTCCGTATCCGCGAATAGGCCGCGCGCTTTGGCGTAGTCGTTGATGATGACGTCGAACTCGCGTCGGCGCATGTTGCGCTCGATGCTGACGGGGAGGTAGAAGAGGAAGCGGTAGCGCTGCAGCACGGCCAGTGCCGAGCGCGTCGAGTCGGCCCGGTCCTTGCGCCGCAGCACGTCCTGGAACAGCTTGTCCGCCTCGTCCTTGCTCGCTGCGAGGCGGACGGAGGTGCGTGTAAACTGTCAGGCGGTGGACGGAGGTGGGGTGTGAGCTGTCAGGCGGTGGACGGAGGTGGGTGCGAGTTGTCAGGTGGTGGAAGGAGGTGGGGTGTGGGCCGTCAGGCGGCGGACGGAGGAGGGGTGTGAGCTGTCAGGCGGTGGACGGAGGTGGAGTGTGGGCTGTCAGGCGGTGGACGGAGGTGGAGTGTGGGCTGTCAGGCGGTGGACGGAGGTGGAGTGTGGGCTGTCAGGCGGTGGACGGAGGTGGAGTGTGGGCTGCCAGATGGGTCAGGTCACTACCGCGGCCGACTCGGGCGAGTGGCGGACAAGTTGGCCGAACTTCCAACAACGCGATAACGGTCAGCGAATGTCGCCAAGAGGCACACAAATCCCATTTACGAACGTAGCTCACTTACAGCCTGGCAACACTTATCTTTGGTCAGGTTTCCCAGGAAAACATCCGCCAACATCTCTAGTCGTGCCGCGGGCACACCAAGACAGCCCAACAACAGACGCCAGCAGTCAGACCATCACAGCCGGGAAGCGGACTGCAGCGGACCGTCCGCAGGCCGGCAAAGGACGGCCACGGGCGGCCGCACCGTTAATGGCCTGGTCCATGGTGACCATGGGGTCGTGGTCGGACGTGTGCCGCTTAAACAGCTCTCGCATCTCCGACAGGGCGTCCAGCTGGTCGATCACCAGGCCGGCGTAGTCCTGCAACGGCGCGTCACGTGATGCCCCGTCCAGACGAACGCTGCGCGCGCACTCCACCCGACAGGCATCATTGAGCATCGTCTGCACAGGTGCTTACCGCACACGCATGAGAGAAGTGAGACGTCCTGATCAGCGTAGAGTCAACCGCGACTACAGTGATAAAGCCAATCGGAAAATGGACTGCAAGAACAACTCGCCAGTGGAAACGCGACAATAGAGGAACATGTGACTCCCGGACCACGTTCTGAAATACCACAATTGTGCAATAGCACGGTACCACTGGAGAGCATCATATACGGGACAACCATCCGGAGTGCTATCATCGCCACATCAATCATTCTTTTCACAAATCAGACATGAAACACAGTGGACATAGGCCGTCACAGCTGGCGAATCAGTGCAGCCTCCCTCCCGCCGATCGTTATGATGCAAAACCACAAAGCACCGCCGCAAGGAAAACAACATAAAAGCACAATCCGCGCTTTTTCCCCTCTGCGCCGGTGACAGTGAACCAGCACTCTCAACGGCCAACTGCGTAGGCCGGCCACCCAGGCAGCCCGCGCAGCCCACCGCGTCCTCACACTGCCCACCGCCTCCTACTGCCCACACGGCGCCCGGAACCCCCTTCCGCAGCACACGGCCAGGGCACGGGCAGGCGACCCGAGCACGGTCGGCACGCCGGCACTCTGACCTTGAGGAAGCTGAGCTGACCCTCCTTCTCGGCGTTGACCTTGCGCCGAAGGAAGCTCAGCCCGGCGCGCAGGTCATCGTAGCCGCTCTGGTGGTGGTTCTCCAACAAGAACCAGGCCGGGTGGAACGACTCGGAGAAGAGGCTGCCGGAGCGGCTCGGGAACAGCGTCTCCAGCTCGTCCTCCGGGTACTTGACCCTGCGCCAGGGCGGGGTCACGTCAGGTCACGCCACGCCGAGGCCCCAGTGCAGCATTAACCCAACAGGAGCGCGGCGTCGGGCAGGTTTGGCAGCAGAAGCACAGGCAGAGCGTCTCCAGAACATGTGTCGGGTCCCCGAACTAGGCAGCAGGACGGAGGCGTCAGCCCGCGTGAGCTCGGGTCACAAGGTCACGATTTACCAACGCTAGGTCAACGCCACTTCCAGGTCAACATCACTTCACTATATTTTTCGCCATGGTAGCAGGAAAGCAAGATAAATTCGGGTCAGGTCACGACCACAGGCCCAAGAACGAAGGCCTTACAATGGCACCGCGCCTCACTTGGTACATGGGAAATCCACAACACAAAACCTCTCACACACCCTGCAGACAGCCATCCTTCTCAAGCACCTGGCGGCGGGTGCACTCACTCGTATCCCTCCATTGAGATGCCGAGGACGTCTTCCTGACCGAGGTTGTGCGTGGAGACGAGCTCCTGCAGGATCTCCTCGCGTTCTGAGTCGAAGTCTTTCAGCCACACGGCCGACTCCTTCAGATGTCCCACCACCTGGTCCACGCCTGAGGCACGGGGGTGTACTCTAGCTCGCTGGGATAGCGGAGGGGATCAGTGTCCACTGCTCTGTCCACGCCGGAGGCACGGAGGATGCCTTCACATCTCCGGTATGGTGGGTGATAGGGTCAGCACCACACCACCTTCCCCACATCTGATGAGCATGGTGGAATAAGACCGTCGTCCTGGAGCTCAACAACGATATCCCTTGGGCGTCGAAGACCATCGCGCACGAGCCGACGCGAGACGCAGGCGAGCGAATGACCAGACTCTGAGGTCTACAGTTGAACTGGGTGTGACCAAATTAAAACAGACATCCGCATGCCGAGGTCCACTACTAGCCGAAACGTTCAGTACCTGCCAGCCTTTCGTCAGATAGCCAACTACTGCAGAAACAACCACTGACTGGGTTGGGACAAACCTCGGAGTTCGCAGTGTCTGGGCCGATGGTGGGCATCCCGGTGGTGACACCGGCCTTTAAACTTGACACTGCGCGGGCCAGCGCGACGCGCGCCGCGGACACGGCAGCCTTGGGGTGGAAGGCACGCTGATGGACCGGATGAGGAAGGAGACGGCAGGCAACCCGTTGGGGAAGGACGGAAGGAAAGCTGATGGTGCGCTTGTCAGTTCCTGCATAAACCATGCAACGAGTCGACATCAACATTGAACCAGTTGTTTGATCAACAATGAGAGGATTCATACTGGACCACCATACCACGAAGTTTCCGGGTCACAAAATGAGCAGCACTGACCTTTGAACTTCACAGTGCACGAGCCGGTGCCACCCGAGCGGGTTGTGATGATGACGTCACAGAAGCCCCGTGACGTACCCGACAGGATGACGATCTTGTTGGCACTGTGCCAATCAGCCGTCAGGGAGCAGTCCCATTCTCCTATCAGCACACCTACAACAGCACAGAGCCAGTCAGTCTCAGGTGAAGACCCAATGTGCGGAACACACACATCCCAGAAAAGGACTGCCTCCACACCGGCGGCACGGTCGGGTAAAGTGTTTGTTTTGGGTCTCACCCACCAGTGGCAGGTTGGATTCAAGTTGCTTCAAACACTCAGTGTTTTGCCCTGACTGGGATGACCTGGAGCCAGTGACAGTGGCCGTGCTAATGGTCAGGTAACACCATAGGTGGGAATGGACTGTGCCATGCTTTACAGCATGTAACATTTTCGCATAAAATTTTGCCAGTGGATGAAATTTCATGATCAGATGGTGGGATTAGGACTCAAACAGTCAAATCTTCTTATCATGGGCTCTCATCCCAAATGTCCTGTAATGTGCAATGGTGGTCCATCTTTCCAGCCCACTCCTACACTTCTGGACAGTGCATGTTCATCCAACCAAAAGACTTCAAATAAACCATGAAAATTAGCAGAGCAGACTCCATGAATGGCTCCTCAATGGCTTTCTGCACCATACCTAAAACATGTAAGTCATTGGCAATGTCTTGGCCCCTAAATGCACAACTGTTCCAAGGGGCTCCCACCTGGCCAACTCAGGGAGCATTGTATCCAAGAAACATGCTGCTAGCCACCCCCAAGCATTTTGACAAATTAACACCAGAATACTATGGCTCATGTACAGGATTTAACCCAGACCCTGGTGCACCCTATGCAGATTCTCTGTATGGGTGGCCAAGCCACAGCAACCAGCCATCCTGAACCCCTCGCACCCCCCCCCCCCCCCCACCCTGCATCAAAACAGAGTCCATGCATGACTATTCCATGCTGCAGCACAGAGTATGTGTGGCTGTAGCTGGCCAAATAAAGGGGGTGCTTGTGCAGCTAGTCCACCACAAGTACTCTGCATTTGGAGACACAATGCATACACTGCGCCCCCTGATCACAAGCTGTCCTTGCAGGACAATGATGGCGTCCTGGGACACAACAAGGGAAATGTTGCTGAACCAGCAACAGTTTAGTGCAGGTGGTCATTTGCTTCACTTGCCCACAATGTCCACATAGTTTGGCTTGGTCACTTTGGGTATTTGATCATGGCATGCCAATAGGTGACAAGCATAACAAAGGAGGCTGCTCACCCTATGAAGCAGATCAGCCAGGACTGCACCAAACTCACCACACTGTGATCAGCTCAAAGCATCTACTTATTCTTATACACATGGAAATGTGATCAATGAGGACATGCTGCAAAAGAGGCAGAGGTTCATCTTGCTTAGTCTTATGCCAACACTTACACACTAAGTCCTGCTGACTTGTGCCAAGATTTTCCCCACGAACTGTGACCTTTGTGCCTGGAGGTCCCTCTTTGGGTGACAGCCCTGTCACCACAGGAGGTGGCCCCATCCTCAGCTGAAATCAACAGATCACAATGCTTCTTGCTGAAATAATAAGCACACCAGCCACCAGTAAACATCAGTTATTCACCTTCTGTTCTTTCCTGATGGAGGACTTCATTTATCCATAATTAAAGCACTGCCATAGGCTCATTCAAGTCAACAACATAATGGAAATATGGATGCCTGCAGATTGTGCACTGGCTGCAAAAATACAGGCTATACTGGAGTGCACAATGAATGTAAATCCAGCACAAGTTGGTCTGGCCCGAGTTTGGCATTCCCATGCACAAGGTTCAATACACTGGTGTCCCACAAGCGTCCAGCTCGGTGGATATCCCGGAGAGGCAGGCGATGATGATTAGCCTCAACCATTGAATGCAGAGCAAAGTTCCGATGACAACAGAATGAAAATGATTGTAGGTCACGGCCGCAGTGTATAAAACGAGACCGAGTGCAACAGTAGCACGATTGGTTCTTACAAATTCGACGGCAGTCACCGGTTCGTTATCCAATATTTCACATGCATCTTGAGCAATATTCGAGTTCAATACTTCCTATGTACTTACGTACCTAGTTATCTGGTACGCGCCCTCCCGCACACCCCCTACTTTCCGCGTCTCTACAAACTAATTCCAATCACACCGCAATCCGTGCGGTGGGCGTACGGATTGACTGGTGCCCTGCTCACCACTCGCGTATGATCAGATTTCACGATACTCTTGACCAATCATGTTGTTTCAAGGTGCGAGAGTCTTCGCCAGGGTTGGTTGATGCTCCCACCTTTACATTTTAGAAGCCATATTTCTTGGCTCTAGGCACGTATTTCCATGACGCATATGCGACAAATTATGGAGTGCATTTTCTCATCACCCATGCCGGGAACGCGCGATATCAACATTATGACATCGGGCTGTGGGTGCATCAGGTGCCTACTGCTCATGTCTGCAAGTGGTGTTGGTCATTGGCGACGGTAGGTATTAATGATGAGTGATGATAGTTGCTGCGGCCGATTAAATTGTAATGTATCGTGATGGTGCGTGATGATAGATGTAGCTGATGAGGTTGTTCCTTCGTTTGGGTTGAATTACCATATCATGCATGCAAGTCTTATCTGTTCATTGACGTTCATGTACATCCCTATGATCTCTTTAACCTTACAATGGCCCATTTTTCTTTGAAAGCTGCCCTCATTAATAAGTGCCACTTAGGGTACCAATGTGTGGAGGCTATAAATGAACTATAAGCATTATTCAATATTGACTGAAGGTTTAGGTGCATTGAAGGTCCATTGAACAGCATCACACGACTGGGCATTGTTTAATCCAATTTCCATGTTGATTACATTGAGTTATGCCATTTGTACATGCATTGATAATGGACAGCATCAACAAACAAAAGCTTAGAAGCCACAGAAGTCAATCCTTTGCAATCATCAATTGTTTGGATGCATGTGTGTGTGTGTGTGTGTTTGTGTATGTCTGTTAAGTGTGGAGCAAAAATTAAGCTATTTCCAGTGGTCTGCAAGTACTACCCTTCCATGTTAGCCTGGATGTTTGTGCATATTAGGTGCATCACAATCTTTGCTTGTCTTTGTGAAGGGTACAGGTATACTCCTTGGACTTGGGTACACCCAAGGGCACCCCAGAACAGTTTTGAACAGAACAGAACAGTATTGCTTCTCCTCCTGCTCAAGATCAGTCAATCAACACTAAGTTGAATGACGATCAACCGAGCATCAAGGAATGTCCAGTTTTGGCAAGTTGGTTGGGCAGGTCAGATGATTGGGTTTGGTTCAGAGGATGGATTATCAGCTAACCAAACAATGTGCATGCAGAAGCTGCTGCAGAACCATATTTCAGGAAATTTTATGTTATATTTACATCTGCACACCTAAATATGAAGTTTGGAATGCTGGTCATTTGTGATATACATTCTGATTACTACTTTCACCCCTGTTCTTGGTATATTATATCCAAGGATGCAGGCTTTGCAGGCCCTAATTTACACCATACAATGTTTTCAGGTGAAGTCAAGTAGAACAGCAGATCCTGGCAACACTGACATTGTAAGCATCATCTTGTGGAGCTCAAGATCAACATTAGCCATACAATGTCATCCAAGATGCTAAGCAGTGCTCAGTAGCATCACTTCCTAGACAACAGCCACCCCATAGCCATGAACTGTGTGTTGGGACAGCGGCTGTTGCGCGTGCGCGGCGTCGCTACGCGCCGCGCGCTCTGCTGCAGCCGGCCGCGGCCCGCCGCCTGGTCCGAGCTGAGCGCCGGCGAGGTGGAGGTCACGTGCGGCGGCCGCAGCAGTCGGCTGGCCGTCAGCGAGCTGGCGCGGTTCGCCGACGGCAGCGCCACGGCGCAGGACGGCGACACGGCCGTGCTGGTGACGGCCGTCAGCCGGCCGCGACCCGGGCCGCCGCCCGGCTTCCTGCCGCTGACCGTCGACTACCGGCAGAAGGCGGCCGCCGCCGGCCGCATCCCCACCAACTTCCTGCGCCGGGAGCTCGGCCCCAGCGAGCAGGAGATCCTCACCAGCCGGCTGATCGACCGCTCGCTGCGCGCGCAGTTCCCGGCCGGCTACGGCGCCGACACGCAAGTCACGTGCAACCTGCTGGCCGTGGACGGCGACCGGCTGCCGGACGTGTTGTGTGTGAACGCGGCGTCGGCGGCGCTCGCCTGCTCAGACATCCCTTGGGGCGGCCCGGTGGGCGCCGTGCGTATGGGCTGGCTCGACGGACAGCCGCTGGTGAACCCGGGCCGCCGCGAGCTGGCGGAGAGCTCGCTTAATCTGATGGTCACGGCTGGCCCGCAGAATACGGTCGTCATGCTGGAGGCGGCCGCCGACAACATACTGCAGCAGGACTTCATGCACGCTATCAAGGTGGGCGTGCGCGAGGCACAGCACGTGGTGCGCGGCGTGGAGCAGCTGCAGCGCAAGCACGGCCGCACCAAACGCCACTTTCAGCCGCCGCCGGTCGACGCCGAACTCGATGACTCGGTGGCGGCGCTCTGCGAGACGCGCCTCGAGGCCATCCTCACCGACTGTCGACACGACAAGATCTCTCGCGACGAGGCCGTGTCGGCCGTGCGCGCCGACGTGCTGGAGAAGCTGCGCGCAGACGGCGGCGGCGAGCGCGCCGCGCAGGCGTCCGACGCCTTCAACCGGCTGTTCCGCGCGTTGTTCCGTCGCCTGGCGCTGGACCGCGAGACGCGCTGTGACGGCCGGGACGCGGACGAGCTGCGCCCGATCTCGTGCCGCGTCAACCTGCACCGGCCGCTGCACGGCTCGGCGCTCTTCCAACGCGGCCAAACGCAGGTCATGTGCACGCTGACGCTGGACTCGGCCGAGTCCGTGCTTAAGTCCGACCTCATGTCGGTGATCACGCAGGGCGTGCGGCCCAAGAACTTCATGCTGCACTACGAGTTCCCGCCGTACGCCACCAACGAGACGGGCCGGCCGGGCGGCCTGGGCCGGCGCGAGCTCGGCCACGGCGCTCTGGCCGAGCGCGCGCTGCGCGCCGTCGTGCCCGAGCCGTTCCCGTTCGCCTTGCGCCTGACGGCCGAGGTGCTCGAGTCGAACGGCAGCTCGTCGATGGCGTCCGTATGTGCCGGCAGCCTGGCGCTGATGGACGCCGGCGTGCCGGTCAGCGCGCCCGTGGCCGGCGTGGCGATCGGAATGGTGAGCCGGCCCGACCCGGAGTGTCCCGAGCGGCTCGGCCAGTACCGCCTGCTCACCGACATCCTGGGCATCGAGGACTACTGCGGCGACATGGACTTCAAGCTGGCCTGCACGCCGACCGCCATCACGGCGCTGCAGGCCGACTTCAAGCTGCCGGGCCTGCCGCTGTCGGTGATCATGGAGGCGGTGACGGCCGGCCGCACGGCCACGCGCGAAATCCTCGGCATCATGGCGAAGTCGCTGGCGCAGCCGCGCGCCGAGCGCAAGGACAACTGGCCGGTCACCGAGGAGATGACCGTGCCGGCGCACAAGCGCGGGCGACTCCTCGGCGTCGGCGGCGTCAACCTCAAGCGTCTGCTGGCCAATACGGGCGTGCAGGTGACTCCGCGCGACGACACCACCTTCTGCGTGTTCGCGCCCAGCCCGGCGGCGTTGGCCGAGGCGCGCGCGCATCTGGACGCGCTGCTCGAGTCGTCCCCCGAGCCGGAGTTTGAGTTCGGCGCCGTGTACACGGCGCGCGTGGTCGAGCTGCGCGAGACGGGCGCGCTCGTGCGGCTGCACCCGAACGCCGCGCCCGCGCTCGTGCACAACAGTCAGCTAGACGCGCGGCCGGTGCGCCACCCGAGCGCGCTCGGGCTCAGCGTCGGTGATGAGATCCAGGTCAAGTACTTCGGCCGTGACCCGGTCAGCGGTCACGTACGGCTCTCACGCAAGGTACTGCTGGCGCCGGCTGGCGGGCCCGTGCGGAACCTGCAGCCCCGCTCTGACGCCGAGCAGGGCTGACGGCGGCGGGCCGGTGTGACGTCAGCGACCGCGACCGGACCGGGTCACACGGGTCAGCTCAGACCACCCCGCCGGCTGGGACGTTGCTCCTGTGATACAAGCGCCTGAATTTCCAGGGATTGTTGCATTCTGAGCCTGTGTTTCAGGTGACAGATTAGTGTCCAGGGTACCATCACCGGCTGGCGTAATACATTACATGTATGCAGCCGTGTTAAAGGACTGTTTAAATGAAGGTTGACGGAAAATACTGGAAAGGAATCGTCAGAAACAAGGGCTTAAAGCAAGCAAACTCTCCCACTAACTGGATCTCGTGCCAACGTAGAGAGGACGTAAGGGGGAAAGTGCGTACCCCCGTGCTGCCCTGAGATAGGGGTAAAGTATTAGTGAGCGACATTACATGAGCCGGTCAGCCAATTGGCGAACCAGATAATATACCATTACATCTACGGCCCATGAACAGCTCAGTACGACGCACAGTCACACAGCAAAAATTCACTCGTCACACGCTAGCCGAAGCTGAAACGCTGTTCGATAATTCATGAATAACAGATACGTGAAACGTCATTAGAAAGCTTCTGACATTCTGAATACCTTTTGCTTAGATAAGTTACGAAGTTGAGATCAGTGTCATATAAGATCATCTGCCATTTTCCCTCTGATTTGCATGCAACCGATACACATATCGTATGTTGTTCAAACTGAACGGTTGGGTGCAATGTAAGTCTGCAATTCAGCATGCAGTATAATACAGTGCTGTAAGTAACACAGTAACACGAACCATGCTGCAATCATTACATTCATATACCTTCGGCCTTTGGCCTTGGTCAGATATCTCTGGAGTCAGTTCCATTTCCAGGTCACCCTGGGTCAGGGGCCTATGATAATGTTTCAGGGCAAAGTGGCTGGTGCAGATGAGGGAGCGACGCTTTTCACCACATTGGTTTTGGGTTTTCCCGCTTGCTTTCGGAGGACCCGTTACTGTTTGCAGTGTTGACCCTGTGTCCTGACCCTTGTGAGCTTGTTGACCCTATGTGTTGACCCTTGCGAGATTGTTCACCCTCGTGCAATTTGGGAGCGATCCTCGGCACAGGTTA